AATGATTTTTTCTCAACTCTTCTTTGGCAGCATATTCTTAAATTGTCTTTGAGTTCAGTTTTTTTCTACTCAATCAGACCTACCACTGATGCTCTTTTTCAATTCTAGAGTTTCTGTTTGTATTTCTGTTTCTGGGTTTGAGACATGTAACTATGTAACCCTGGCTGACCTGGAACTCACTGTGTAGGGCAGACTGACTTGGAACTTGTGATCTTCCTGCCTCTGCATTCTGTGTGCTATGAGTATAGGCATTCACCAATATGTTCAACTCTGTTTTGGTTTGTTGTTGTTTTTATTTTCTTTTTATTATAGTTTTTAAGTTTTTATTTTATGCCTATGGGTGTTTTACCTGCATGCATGCCTGTTGCTTGCAGGGTCCAGAAGAGGGCATCAGGTCCCCGAGGACTAGAGTTACAGATGGGTGAGCTGCAATATGAGAGCAGGGAATTAAGCTTGGGACCCCTGGAAGAGCTTCTAGTGTTGTTAACCACTGAACCATCTCTCCAGCTCCCTTTATTTTCTTTAAAAAACATTATCTGTTTATTGAGATAAAGAAGGACAGTGGAGGGAAAGAGGGGAGAATAGGCCAAAGTGTATTGTGAAAGTCAGAGGAAAACTCTGGGCGTCAGTTCTCACTTTCCTCATGTGGGGTCCAGGAATCAAAAGCAGGTCATCAAGCTTAGCAGCAGTACCTTTATCCGCTGTGCCATCTCACCAGCCTGCTTCTCTTTATGCTTGATGTTTAAGAAGCTTCTTTGAAATGTGCTCGTTTGTATTATTAGTCTGGCAGTTTGCAAATCCACATTTATTTCTTTCATTTTTAGCAATATTTCACTGTTATCCAGGCTAGTTTCAAACTTTGGACATGTGATGCACACACCTCAGGTTCTGAATTCTAGGACTACAGGTCTGTGTATAAATTTCCAGTTTCTTTAAAGACTTTTGCTGGCTTTATGTTCAGGTCCTTTATCTACTTGAACTTGAGCTTTGTACAAGGTGATAAATATGGATCAGTCTGCATTCTTCTAAACCAGCACCATTTATTAAAGATGCTTTATTTTTCTCATTGTATGGTTTTAGCTTCTTTGTCAAAGATCAAGTGTCCATAGGCGTGGGTTTATTTCTGGATCTTCAGTTCTATTACGTTGATCAACCTGTCTGTCTCTGTACCAATACCATGTAGTTTTTATCACTATTGCTCTGTAGTACAGCTTGAGGTCAGGGATGGTGATTCCCCCAAAAGTTCTCTTATTGTTGAGAAATGTTTTAGCTATCCTGAGTTTTTTCTTTTTCCATGTGAATTTGAGAATTGCTCTTTCCATGTCTGTGAAGAATTGAGTTGGAATTTTGATGAAGATTACATTGAATCTGTAGATTGCTCTTGGTAAACTGGCCATTTTCACTATTGTATTTCTGCCAATCCATGAGCATGGGAGATCTTTCTATCATCTGAAGTCTTCTTTGATTTCTTCACGGACTTGAAGTTCTTGTAAAACAGATTTCACTTGCTTGGTTAGAGTTACCCTAAGATATTTTATGTTATCTGTGGCTATTAGTGTTGAGGTGATGTATTGTTTCCATGATTGTGTTTGATCTTTGTGGCCTTGCATTGGTGTCTGCATATTTGAGGAAGAAGGGAAGTACTGTGGTCATTGTGGATTAGCTTTGTTTAGAAAGGTCTTCCATCAGTCAATCCATTTAGAGATACTGGGCAGAATACTTGGTGTGATTCATAGGTAAGCATGTGCCTGTGTCATCCGACAGGCCTGAGATAGCTCAGTGGGGCTGGTGCCTCTTTGGGTGACCTATAACTTGATCTTAGAGACAGGTCCTGGAGACTTTGTCTATTGGGGGTATCTGTATCTTTAGGTTTATACTAGCTGCATTTGCCTTGGGATGAACCATTAGCTTGAGCATCCAAATGTCAGCCAGGTGCTTTCCTCTAGTGCTCAACTCCCAGGAATGTCCCTTTTATAGGCAGATTTGAGAATAGCCTTTTATAGTCATGGTGCCCTGACCAATCAATCCTTATGGACCTAATCTCTAAGCCAGAGCCCACATATCTATGTTCTAACAGTTTCCTGGGACCCAAATACCAGGCTAGTATTTGCCTACATCCTCATGCTTTCAGATAGCTCACATGTCTAGAGGTAGTGTGGCAGTACTCATAATGCCAGCCAGGATCCAGACTGCGAGATGATTGTGGTGCGTGTATCTTCTGGGATGGACTGAGTTTATTGAGGTTACCTGATGTACATATGGAACTTATATGTATGTGTGGTGGGGTTGGGGGAGGCAAGGGCTACCTGATAACCTAGGTCTACTGGAGTGAGCTTAGCATTTGAGTCTGCTGGAGCAGGCCTGAAGTCTACAACCCATGAGGCTAGTCTGCATCATGGGGTTATTAGTATTTGTGTGTGTGTCTGTGTGTGTGTGTGTGTGTGTGTGTGTGTGTGTGAGAGAGAGAGAGAGAGAGAGAGAGAGAGAGAGAGAGAGAGAGAGAGAGAGAGAGAAAGAGGGAACAACTTACAGGATTGGATTCTCTCCTTCTACCATGTAGGTCCTGGGGATAAAACTCAGATCATCAGAATTGGGGACAAGTGTCTTAACCCATCTTTTTTGCATCTTATGAAATTTTGTCATCAGATCTGTAAACCATTAGATTCATGTCCTTGTTGAATTGATATATTTATTACCTTGAAATATCCTATCCCAGATAATTGTTCTTTTTTTGAAATATATCATTAACATAGATATTCCTACTTTTGCTTACATTTCCTATAGTGTATTTTATCCTATATTTTAAACCAACTTTGTGTTTTATTTTTTTTTGTAACAGCCAAAGTATGTAATTAGCTTAGGTGCTGTCTTAGTTAAGGTTTCTATTGCTCTGACAAAACACCAAGACAGAAAAACAAGTTGTAGAGGAAAGGGTTTATTAGGCTTACACTTCCAGATCATATTTCATCATTGGATGTCAGGACAGGAACTCAAGCAGGGCTGGAACCTGGAGACAGGAGCTGATGCAGAGGCTATGGAGGAGTGCTGCTTACTAGCTTGCTCTTCATGGCTTGCTCAGCCTGCTTTCTTATAGAATCTAGGACCACTAGCCAAGAGATGGTATCACTCATCCATTTGACCATTAACTGAGAAAATGCCTTACAGCTGGATCTCATAAAAGCATTTCCTCAACTGAGTCTTCCTTCTCTCTGATGACTTCAGCTTGTGTCAAGTTGACAAATCCAACCAGTACAGGTGTTGCCAACAGATGTATGTGTAAAGAAAAGGTGATATTGTGGCTGGGATGTAGATTTGTAAAGTGCTTGACTAGTATGTATGAATCCCTGGATTTGATCCCTAGCAACATGTAAAATCAGGTATGGTGGCACATGCCTCTAATCCCGCCACTGGGCAGGTAGAGGTGAGTATCAGAAGTTCAAGGTCATTCTTGGCTACAGAACAAATTCAAGCACTGCTTTGTCTGCATGGGAGCTTGTCTTTAAAAAAAGAAATCTAATGAGATAGCTCAGTGGATAAACATTGGTCCTGAAAGCCTGGCAATCTGAATTTGATCCCAGAAACAACTGCACAAAGTAATCTACTGAATTCCACACATGTATTGTCACACAGACACTCATGTGTATGCCATACACATAAATAATAAAATATTTTTAAATGTGATATTTATAAACGATGGAAATTTATTCAGGCATAAAGAAGAAAGAAACTGTCATTTGCTGGAAAATGGATTCAACTGAAGACAATCATATTAAGTGAAATGAGTCAAACTCAGAAATGTTTGAAAGTCAGAAAGACAAATATGGCATTCTTTCTGTCATTAGTGGATCCTAGTTTTGTATACATATGTAAGACCATTAATGCATATAAAAATTTGAGCGTACAAGGAAGACTAAGGGAAAGAAGGGGACTACCTGAAGGAGGGAAAGGAGGGGAGGAGGAAAAGAATATGGCCCACATATATACTGTACTGAATGAAATTATCTTTATGAAACTCAACACTGTATAAACTGAGTATATGTCAATAAACATTTTAATGTGTTTCTTGTTGGTAGCATATATTTGAAAGTTTTGTTTTGCTTTAATCTAATCGTCTTTGCCATTCAGTTGGTTCATTTCATCATTTAGACATAATATGAGTATTAATAATGTTAGACTTATTTTATTTTCAAGTAATTGGAAATTAATTCAAGGCCCCATACATGCTAGGCAGTTACTCTACTACTAAATTATATCCCCAGCCCTCTTTTTACTTTTTATTCTGAGACATACTCTCAGTAAATTGCCAAGGATGACCTTGTAATTATTTTGTGGCCCAAGAAGGCCTTGAAATGGTGATTCTGCAGCCTTGGTCTCCTGAGTACTGTGATTACAAACCTGTACTACCACATTCAGCTTGATTGGATATAAATTTAGCGTTATGTTGTTGGTATTCCATTTATGCCATCTAGTCTTTGTTGATGTTTTGCTTTTTACTTGTTTTTGATCAATTGAATATTGTGAATAGATTTTCACCTTTTGACTATTATGTATAACCTATTTATCATTTAGTATCTATTGCACACATTCAATGTACAATCATCTACCTTTAAGTCAAATAATGAAATATATTCATTCCATTTTAATAGTGTTTTATATACTCCATTTTGTGAATGTCCCACAATGTATTCAATTCATCCATTAGTAATGGAATTTAGGTTCTAGGTTCCATATTTTATTCTTACATGTAGTGTTTGATGAACATTTCGTATTTGTTTCCTTTCAGGCTATATCCATATATCTATGGATTCACACAAATACTGTTGTCCAATTAGGCATTTTTCTAATATTCATATCCTTGATGGTTTATTAATTCATATGGCTTAATACATTTTATCTTTCTAAAGATACAGATATTCTTAAGGTGATTCAAAATTCATTGTGAAATAACCATCAATATTATCTTTGATGGAAATGTCTCACATTTTAATTATTTGTTTCAGCTTTACAGGTAGTCAGTACTTTAAAGGAATTATTAATGGATGAAGAATCAGAAGATCGTGGACTAATTGAAAGTGGAGTTTCAACTTTCAAAATCCTAAATTTATCTATAGAGTTTGCTCTACAGGTAACTCAAGCATCTACTATTATATTATATTCTTTCCCTTTTTGAAGAAGACTTCATAAAATCACCATCACCTAAGCTATAAGATAGCCCTGCTTTACTGTTTTGTCTCACATTTTCACCCAGGCTTCTTATAGAACTGTCTTGTTTATTTTCTTTTGAGGGAACAGATTTGTGTTTAAAACAAGCAAAAATAAACATTAGCAAAACACAAATTTTAAATGAGGCTCTAAGACCACTGAGATAACTAAATGGGTAAAGGCAACTGTCCCAAGCCCGGTGACCTGAGTTTAACTCTCTAAATCCACATGGAAGGAGAGAACCAACTTGACAAAGTTGTCCTCTGACCTCCACATGTGTTTCATACCAAAACATACACACACACACACACACACACACACGCTCGCGCGCGCGCGCACACACACTAATAATGATGATGATGATCATGATAGTAATGATATTTTAAAATAAAAGAAACTTCAGATTTTAAAAATGTCATTTCAGGCAGAGACTAAAGCTACTAATAGAGCATTTGCCTAGCATGCACAAGACCTCATGTTACACCCCCAACTCTGAAAAGGTAGAGTTGGAGTATATATCACACATGCAAATAAATATGGATCTGCTTTGAAATTTATATTTCTCGCTAATTTAAATGAAATAGTTTAAACTAAATGAAATAGTTTAAATATTTGTGATCTTTTTTTTTTTCAGGGGTGGTAGTGGTCGTGGTAGTGTTCTCACTATGAAGCTCTGGCTAGTCTAGAACTTACTATGTAGACCAGGCTGTCTTTGAGCTCATAGAGATCTGTCTCTGCCTTTACTGGGAGTAAAGATGTATGTTACTACTATGACTAGTGTTGTGTTTTATAAAAATATAAGGAGAGAGAAGGAGTATGTTTGGTAGATGTGCAGTCAGGTGTGGGGGAAGGAGGTGCCTCTGCAGGCCCATACTGAGGCATCCCTTCCCCCTGAGGGACCAGCCACACAATGGTGTAGTGTAGAATAGAGTTTATTCAGGGCATGGGGAGGGGAGTTTAGAGGATAATAGAGGCAGAGAAAGGCAGAGATAGATAGCAGAGGAGTAGAAGCTGGCCATGAGCACATGGAGAGGGGAGGGCAATGGGGGGAGAGAGAGGGTAAGGAGCAAGAGGACAGAGCAAGAGTAAAAGCAAGAGAGAGAGGAGGGGGCAAGCAACCCCTTTTATAGTGAGTCAGGCATTACCTGGCTGTTAACAGGTAACTGTGGGGGAGGAGCCTAGACAAAATGCCAACTAACCTATATCCTTTCTTTTATAGCTACAAAACATCAATTTTAGTTTAATAAATATATCTGTTTTTACTTGTAATTTTGGTCCTGATAAAATACAAAATTCAAAAAACTTCAAAAGCAACTCAGGAATTCTTGGCCTAAATAGAGTATTAGTCCCATACATGCCAGGCAAGCACTCTGCCACTAAAACATAGCCCTATTCCTCTTTTACTTTTTACTCTGAGACACACTCTCCTTTACATTTATACAGTTATTTATATATTATATATTTATAGAAACTTTTTAAATTTTTATTTTTATTATTTTATTTTCATTTTAATTATTCAGTTTATTTAATTATTTGATTTATTGTTTTATCATTATAAATTATCAATTTATATAAGTTAATTGTTAAATTTATATAATTTTAAAGTTTCTTTTTTATTGGATATTTTATTTACATTTCAGATGTGATCCCCTTTCCCCGTTCTCTGCCCCCCACCCAGGAACCCTCTATCCCATCTCCCTCCTCCTGCTTCTATGAGGAAGTGCCCACACCCACTCACTCCCACCCTCCACGCCCTCGAATTCCCCCACACTGGGGCATCCAGCCTTCACAGGACCCAGGACCTCCTCTCCCACCTATGCCCAACAAGGCCATCCTCCCCTACATATACAGCTGGAGCCATGGGTCCCTCCCTGTGTGCTCCCAGGCTGGTGGTTTAGACCCTGCCTCCAGTGACATGCTTCCTCTATCAATTGTTATCTTCTAGGGTTTCCTTAACTTTCCCACACAGCACTACCAAATGGGAACTAAGTATTCAAACATATGAGCCTATTTTACATTTAAACCACAACATAAGCCATTCATAAAATTTACCCTCCACAGTGAATAATACATATTCTAGTTTCTAAAAACGAAAGAAGCCTTGAAGAGAACTTCCACAGATTCCTACTACTACCTCTCTGTACATACCAGGAATCACACCACATATTTTATCTTCTAAATCACACACTCCTTTCTAAAGCCAACCTCTCAACTTGCTTCTGAAATCACCTGTTACCACTGTGTTCTCTTTTACTTAGTTAATTCCATAGCTTATAAATATCCTCTTGTCCTATTCAAATGATCAGAAACTTAAAAAAAAAGCCTGTCTTTACCATCTTCTTACCAACTACTGCCTAATTTATTTTCTGGGTTTTGGTAACAAAACTCCTCTGAAATGTCTATACTTATTCCTCCATATCTCCTGAACTTTCTCCTGTCAAGCTTTTGTCAGGAGAGCATACCAAATTGCTTCTGTTAAGGTCACGGTGACCTGGTCCTATATATTGCAATGGTTAAATCTTAGTCCTCATCATATTCTACTATAATCAGTAATCAATACAGTTGACCAGTCTTCTTTGAACCATAATTAGGTTCTAGTTCTCTGTTTTATTTGTACCTTATCAGTCACTCTCTTTCATTCTCCTTTAATGGATTGTCTTTTCATTTCTCTTAGACTTGCTGTCATGTGATGACATTGGGATGTGTGTGTGTGTGTGTGTGTGTGTGTGTGCGTGCGCACACACGCGCGCATGTGATTTGAGAAGACAGGATAAGGTATAAACTAATCATTCATGAAAGCAGGAAATGAATGACTAAGGAAGTGTCATGTGCTTGTCAATAGCATTAAGATTCATTTGATGATATTCAAAAATAAAGCAAATAATTGTATAATTTTATACAACTTCTGTATTCTGGTTAATGAGTGAAAGAACAAAAGTAGGTCAGTGCAAAATTGGACCTAACTAGACTTTCAGCTTTATAAAATGAATACAATGAGTGAAAACTGTCAGTAAAAGTAGAGGAATTATAGTGAATCCACTAGAGTTTTAAGTGGGTGTATCAGAAGGCATTAAGTGACTGATGCAGTGAAAAGTTGGAAGCATCAATGTGTTGGAGGTTTTACTGCAGGATTGCTGTAAGGAAGTAATCTTCCAACAACCCCAAAAGAAGATAGCTACACAAACATAATTCCACCTCTAATAACAAAAATAACAGGAAGAAACAATCACTGTTCCTTAATATCTCTTGACATCAGTTGGCTCAATTCCTCAATAAAAAGATGTAGACTAACAGACTGGATAAAAAAACAAGACCCAGCATTTTGCTGCATACAGGAAATGCACCTCAGTGACAAAAACAGACACTACCTCAGAGTAAAAGGATGGAAAACAATTTTCCAAGCAAATGGTCCCTAGAAACAAACTGGAGTAGCCATTGGGGACTTGTGAAACTTTCTCTATACATGTTGATGTATAAATTGATGTTTTCTTTGTAGATTTTATACATACAATCATATTGTTGACTGTTCATGGGAGCTACTTTCTATCCTGCCAGGAAATACAAACCTATTATACAGCTGTCATCTCAGTCCTTAGGTTCTTACAATCTTTCTGCCCACCGTTCCACAGGTTTTCCCAAGCCTTAGGTTTAGAGGTTGTGATGTTTGATGTCCCATTTAGGGCTGAACATCCCATAGTCACCTTTCTCTCTGCCATTTAATTAATTATAGATCTAATATTCTACTGAAAAGTACAAGACAAGTTTTTTGGATGAGATGTGAGAGCTTCACTCATCTTAGGTCATAGGGATGAGTATTTAGAAGGCAGTGGAAACTGTGTTCCTTTAGTAATATGGTAGTACTAAGTACTCCTTTTGACTTGTATTAGTTACTTTTCTGTTCCTGTGATAAAATACCATGACTAAGGCAAACTATAGAAGGAAAAGTTTATTTAGAGCTTATAGCTCCCAGAGTGATGAGAATCCATTTTCATTATGAAAGGAAAGGGTAGCAGCAGGCATGCTGTGCGGAACAACAAGCTAAGGGCTTGCAATTTTTTTTGACCTTTTAAAATTGAAAACTATTTTCATACAATATATTCTGATCACGTTTTCCCCTCTTTCAACTATTCCCAGATCCTACTCATTCCCTACCCACCCAAATCCATGTGCTTTATTTCTCTTTCTCTCTTTAAAAATCAAGTAACAAACAAAAAAGGGAAACTGCAAAAATTAACAAGCAAGAAAAAACCCTGCAAAAACACAGAATTGGAAACCAAAGTATATCAGGCAAAAGACTAATAATAATAATAATAGCAAGTGGCTTTTGAAACATCAGAACCTGCCTCTGGTGATACACTTCCTCCAGCAAGGCCACATCTTCTAAGCATCCCCAAACAGCATCAACAACGTGGGGATAAAATGCCTAAGGATGTGGGCAACTTCTTATTCAAATCACCAGATAGCCTATAACTTTTCCAGCCATGGGTTCTTGGCTAGGTTTACAGTACTAGGTATGAGCTCCCTCCTATTGAGGTGGAGTTTAGATCCAATTGGACAGTTGTTTGTTGCCTCAGGATACAAGTATCACTGTTGCACCATTTGAGATGTCTTGCTGATTCTATTGTGATTCTCAGGTTTCATCTTCATAGCTATGTAAGACTCTTGGTAATTTTTTTCCTTGGAAGTTTGCATAGCAACTTCCAACAATATTGGAGATAGCCCTCAGTCAACTAGCTTCCATGTCAGTACCAGCTTGATTTCTTCTATTCCTATGGTCCAAAGTGTGGTGTCTGCATTGGTAGGGTCTTAATGTTCATGTTCTGACAAGAGACCAATTGCAGTAGACAATAGCATATATTTGATGGGGTCTTTTGAACCCCTTGACTGACAATTTGAAGGAAAGTACCTCCTGCTTAGCACTGAGGTTTTGTTAATCTCTCGTGGGAGCATTATCTTGCCATGTAGAAGTAATTACATTAAAATTGTAATTTTAAGTAAGCCTATAAACTACTTGGTTTCCCTATGGCTTTTTCAAACATCATTTATCCTTCTTTCTCCCCCCCTCTATATTAACCCTCCAGTTGAGTCTCCTCTAACTTTTCACTTACACTCTTCAAAGCACTTGTGTCAACTACCCACCTTTCTAGAAAGTATCTTCTCACCACCTCTCCCAATGATCTCTTCCTACTTTCCAATCTTTTATGGTTATTCCAGGTTAAACATTCAAACCTAAAGATTCATATCCAAGATCCCTAAATAAGCAAGAGAAAACATGTGACATTTGTATTTCTAAATCTGAGTCACCCCACTCAGTATATTTTCCAGCCGTATCTATTTACCTGAAATTTTCATTTCTCTTTACAGCTGAAAAGGAATCCCTTGTATATATGTCTCATATTCCATTACCCATTGATCAGTTGATGAATATCTAGGCTGTTTCCATTTTCTGGCTATTGTGAATAAAGCTGCAATAACCATAGACGTGCAAGTATCTCTGTTGTAGGCTATAGGAGTTTTTGGAAGTATGCTGAGGAGTTGTGCAGCTGAACAATGGTAAATCTGTTTCTCGTTTTTTGAGGAACTGCCACACTGATTTCTTTAGTGACTTCACCAGTGTGTAGTTTAAAAGTTTTTAAACTCTTTAGAGCAATTTATGACAGCATGAAATTGTTGTAATTATTAGTAATGGAATGGAATTCAAGCTATTGAGAGGCTAGAATATTAGGAAGATCATCTGTCTACACATTGAAAATGCTGAGAGATGAGGGAGAAGGAGGAGGGTTGGATAAAATAACTTAGCAGTAGTGAATTCACCAATAAATGAGAAGAAATTACCTAGGAACCATAGAAACAAGGGAAATAGTGACCATGGCAACAATAAAGGATATAAGAACCATGGTAACAATAAAGGTTATAGAGACCATGGGAGCAGTAAGAAATAGAGAGATCATGGTGATAATAAAGGATATAGTCTGATGACAAGAAATTTAAAGTGGTGGTTTTTAGGGAAGAAAGGGGGAGAATAATATGAAAATAGAACTGAAAAATGAAGGCACGTACTCTACCTCCAAGGTAGAAAGGTAATGAAAGCAAAATGAATTGGCCCTTGAGAAGTTTCCCATGTAAACAGTATCCTTGGATGAAACCTACATTTCCATTGCAGAAATAACATGGAAGGAACTTTTAGAGAAGAGATCTCTCAAAGATAAGACCTTTCTGATAATATACCAAACTTAAATATGTATAGTGAAAAGGTTGGAGGAGCTGGGAGAAACGAGAAAAAGATATAAAGGGGGAATGAATATACAGAGCATTTAAGGTATTGGAGTACTGGAAATGAGGGAATTCAACAATTTGAGGTTCTTTCAGTAATTTAAGGTTACTGTTAAAAAAAACAAGGATAAGGAGACTTAGCAAGGCTGTGCTTGTGGCTGGGAAGCTGTGAGCTTCTTTTTCTTTTTTAAGTTGAAAATAGATTGTTTGCATACAGTTTATTCTCATCACCATTTTCCCTCCCCCTAGTTCTCCCAGTTCCTTCCTACCTCCCCTCATATCTGGATCCATATCCTTTTTGACTTTCCTTAGAAAAGAGGCATCTACTGTCTGTGGGATATGTTCTTCTAGCTGTGCTGCCTTGACTGGCCTCAGTGGGAGAGGTGGTATTCAGGGGACCCCATCTACTCAGAGGAGAGCTACTAAAGACTTGACAGGGGCTTCCAGAAAGTGTGATGGGAGAAGGCTCTAAGCCAAAAGTAGAGATTACCAATGCAGAATGCTTTTGTGACATAAAATGTGATTAATGTTAATGAAAGGCACCTCTATGATAAGAAGCAAATGCATAAATGTTCAGGATGTTTTTAGTGATTAAAGAACAGAGCAGTTACTCTGGTTGGAAGAAATGGGTACTACAGGAGCCCAAAGCTATGTATGAGCCAATTGTTCTAGCCAACACAAAAACATGGTTAGAAGACACATGGGGATGGGTGCAGGACTACTGAAAGAACAAAAATAAATTTAAAATAATGAGCTATGTTTAAAATAGACATAAATAGAAAACAGACATCTAAGACATCATAAAAACACATATAATAAGATAAAACAAAAATAAACAGATTGAATTAGGACAAAAAAAAACAATAAAAAGAGGCAAAGAATGAACACAAGAAAAACAGAAGTGAGTTTCTGAGAATAAAATGAACTTGTTTCTTTATGTCAATGAATTATAACTTCATTCTACAGTATTAGATAGTTCTAAAAAATGAATATATTTCTTTGTATAATAGGCAGGGATAGACAACCAAACATCACTTTCTTTAAAGATGTATGTAATTTAATATACTATGTTTGTTCCTTTTAGAATGGACAACAATTTGTGGCAGAAAAAGGTTTGGAGTATTTATCTCAACTTTCAAAAGACCAAAAAGAAGTACTTGGAGCTTTAAAGTAAGAAATTTGTGTTTTGTGGACATGTAGAGCTATCTCTGCTCTTTTTACTCTTAATTTACAATCTGCCAAGACAGTGCTGATGATATAAAAGCCTTTAAGTAAGAACCAGTAACAAAGATGCTCATGTAGGCCTCCCCTTCAGCTTCTTCAATCCTTCCCCTAATTCAGCCATAAGGGTCCCTGACCTCTGTCCACTGGTTGGCTGTAAGTATCTGCATCTGTCTCTGTCAGCTGATGGTATTTCCTCAGAGGACAGCCATACTACACTCCTGTCTGTAAGCACATCATTGCATCAGTGATAGTGTCAGGGTTTGGTGCCTGCTCGAGATGGATCCCAAGTTGGGCCAGTGTCAACTCACCCGGACCCCTGGGAGCTTCCAGAGACTGAGCCACCAACCAGGCAGCATACATGCGTTGGTCCTGGCACATATATAGCAGAGGATTGCCTGGTCTGGCCATCAGTGGGAGAAGATGTGCTTAATCCTACAGAGACTTGAGACCCCAGGGAAGGGGGAAACCATGACCTCTATCCTAGATTCTTTTCTATTGCTGTGATGAAACACCATGGCCAAAAGTAACTTGAGGAAGTAAGGGCTTGTTTGATTTATACTTCCCAATCAGAGTTCATCACTAAAGAAAGTAAGCAGGATCTGAAGGCAGGGACTGGAGCAGAGAACATTCAAGAAAGCTGCTTACTAACTTGTTCCCTATGGTTTGCTCAGCCTGCTTTCTTATAGAACCCAGGACCATCAGTCCAGAGATGGCACCACCCAAAATAGGCTGGTCCCTCCCCCATCAATCACTAATTAAGAAAATGCCTTATAGCCAGATCTTATGGAAGCATCTTCTCATGTGTGGTTTCTCTTTTCAGATAACTCTAGTTTTTGTGTCAAATTGGCGGGTACTCTACCAGTAAGCTGCATTCTCACTCCTAAAAATCATATTCTCTATTGCTTTTTTACACAGGTGTCTCATTCGAATTATTCTTCCACAAACTTTCCAAATGCCAGAATCTGAAAATAAGTAAGTTATTTCAAGAGAAATGATGTATTTACCATTAGAAAAATTAATGTAGCTTTAAATGAAAACCTTATATTTAAAGACACATTGTGTAGTGGATGAAACAATATAGATTTTGAACCACTCTTCCTTTTTTTAAATTTTTTTATTGGATGTTTTATTTACATTTCCTATGTTGTCCCCTTACCCCATCCCCACCCACCCAGGAACCCCCCATCCCCTCACCCCTCCTCCTTCTTCTCTGTGGATGTAACCTCTATCTACCCCCCCAACTCCCACCTCCCCACCCTCAAAATTCCCATCCCCTGGGGCATCCAGCCTTCATGTGGTCAAGGTTCTCTTCTTTCACCTATGCCCAGCAGGGTCCTCCACTCTTACATATTCAGCTAAAGCCCTGGATCCCTCCCTAAGTGCTCCCAGGCTGGTGGTTTAGACCCTGGGAGCTGTGGTTGGTTGAACCACTCTTCCTTGATCATATTACATATAATTATTTATGAAATTTGTAGCTTAGATAACTTTCTTGTCCTTTCTTTCCTTCAGTTTTTCCATCTGTAAAATAGAAATACCAATGTATGCCTCATGGAGTTTCTGTAATTACTCTGTGAATTAATATGTATAAAAGGTAAAAAAAAATACAACCCTTTGGGAAATCATTCTGTAAGTGAACATACACAAAGTAAGTGTACTTAATAGTTCATAAGTCCTCAAATTTTACATATGGCCTGATTATTTTATTGTATCTATTTCCCATAACAGTAAACTCAATAGAAACTCACAAAGAACAAATAATGTAGTGAACTGTTGTTGGCTCTTGTTCTCTATTATCTTAGCTAGGACTATAGAAACACATTTCTTCTCACAGTTGCCATGGTGTAAGATATCAAGAACTTGACTATTTGTGGAAGGACTATTTTATCACCAATTTTTCATTCATAAAGTTCACTACTTCCTGATGAATTGAGAGAAAACTCTGCTCAAGTCCTTGATTAAATCTAGCTTTCAGAAAATGGCATCTAACTCTGCATTCTATGCTTGATCAGAAGCTCTGTAATAGACTGTCTATTTTGTTTCCAGTACTTACAGCTGGTGTCACTATGTTATTGACTGAAATTTGGAGAAATATCGATCATTGATATAACTTGGAATTCTAACTTGTTTTGTTGTACCATTTGCTCAAGGTATACATTGTGAAATTCACTTTTTTCTTAACAGGCGTTATCAATCAAATAGAAGTGAACTCAATCTAAAGAATACGAGGCACTTAGAATTTTGCCATTCATTTTAGACAGCACGATAGTGGTAATGGTTATATTGTTCTAAAAAACTATTCTCTATCCCCAGGGGATGTATCATTGAAATAAGTATGAGTGTAATGATGTGATATCTGGAAACTTCTTCAAAATAATACTGGAAAAGTAGTTGCAGATTTACAGTGATATAGATGGATGAGTTAATTGTTGAAGCTGGGTTATAGGCATATGAAAACTAAATATAACATCTTTTAACATTGGTACATCCTTGACATTATCAAAAATAATTTTTTTCTTTTTTAAAGATTTATTTACTCTCTATATATGAATATACTTGTTGTCTTCAGACGCACCAGAAGAGGGCATCAGATCCCATTACAGATGGTTATGAGCCACCATGTGGTTGCTGGGAATTGAAATCAGGACCTCTGGATGAGCAGATGGTGCTCTTAGCCCCTGAGCTGTCTCTCCAGCCCCAGTAAAATTATTTTTAAGGAGTAAAGAGTGAGGAGTTTCAGAACTAAACTTTATTAGCTGCCATATTGTAAGAGTCCCTTGAAGGCTGGGAGTATTTGTATTTATCTTTGTATCTCTGGAACCTAGCTTAGCAACTGGCACATAATTGCCACTATGCATATTTAAGAGACTGAATATCTGTGTCTTATTTACTGTGATAAAACACCATGACCAACACAATTATAGAAGTATGTATTTAGGACTGAAGAACCAGAGGGTTAGAGTCCATGATGGCAGAGTGGAGGTAACAGACAGTGAGAGCAGCAGCTGAGAACTCCCATCTCAGTTCACAAAGAGGGAGCACACAGCATACTCACAGTGGTGTGGGTGGTTTGAAACCTCAGCACTCTCCCCCATTGTCACACTTCCTACGACCACACCACCTAATTCTTCCCAGACAGCCACCAACTGGGCCAAGTATTCAAATGCCCAAGACTTATGGAAGACATTTCATTCTAATTACTATAATTACTGATGTATAAGCCCTTCAACATGGTACCTAAAAATTCTTCATAATCCATATAACTGTAACACATAATCAAACCCCACCTGCTATTTCTAATTTGGAAGCAAGTAAGGGAGGAGGATATTGTATGAATTAATAATAAATTGTTACACATTAAGCTATATTTTATTAGCTCCAAATATGTATAGTAATGCAGAACATCTAGGATTTTTCCGGTAGAGGTCAGCATTTGATAAAATTCAACTTTCTAACTTGTAAAGAAATTTTAAAGCACCTAATTCAATGAGGATATCCAAGAGAATTGGATTTTACTGTGTTGTTCCACTTACTTTTTTCTGTTTACCTTGGACAATGAGAACATACTTTTTCTAAGCTATATTCTCCTCTGTAAAACACAAAAACTGGACTACAAAGCTTTAAATTCTTTTCTGTTTTAAGATTTCTATTGTTTTATATTAACAGTGCATCCTAGTTTGGTTTCTATTGCTGTGATGAAACAGCGTGGCTAAAAAGCAACTTTGGGAGGAAAGGGTTGTTTTGGCTTATGCTTCCATATCATTGTTCCTCACTGAAGGAAGTCAGGACAGGAACATAAGCAGGGCAGGAACCTGGAGGCAGGAGATGATGCGGAGGCAATGGAGGAATTCTGCTTGCTTCTCATGATTTCCTCAGCCTGCTATCTTATAGAACCCATCACCACCAGCCCAGAGATGGCACCACCCACAATGGTCTGGCCTTCTCCCATTAATTACAAATTAAGGAAAAGCCTTACAACCAGATCTTATGGAAGTGTTTTCTCAATAGAGGTTCCTTCCTTTCAGGTAACTCTAGCTTGTGTCAAGTTGACATAAAACATTACAACACACAGTATCTGTGTAAATTGTGTGCTTAGTTACTTAAAACAGTTTGGGTTGTTCTATATAGCCACTGAATTAAATTAGTGATGTCAACTTTAGCTTAGTTGAAAGTCAAACTGATAAAAGCTTTCTAAAAATTGATTATAAATAAACTTATAAGACACTTAAGATTTGCCCCCAAGAAAGCATAATCTGTATTAAATAATACTACTTCTTGATATGGGCTGGTTTGGGTGTGAGTTTGTGTGTGCCTGTGTGTGTGATGTGGTCTTGCTCTGTTGCTCAGGCTGGGCTTGAACTCATGATTTTTCTGCTGCAGTTCTCCAGAACTGATGAATCTAAGTAAGAGTCACTCCTGCCTAAAGCCACTCTTATCCTATTTCCTGTAAATGTCCTTACTTGAGTTTCCCAGAGCATCCATATTTATTTCTCTGTTTCACATAAATGGTCTTCTATTCTGTTCAATGCTCATTTTAGGTTTTTCTTTTAGGTTTTTCTTTTGTCTTTGAAGGGTTTATTTTTTTTTACTTTTATTGGCTTAAAACAGACTTTTGATATAACAATGCTATTGATTTTGTATTATAATATATGTAATAGAAAACAATGAGTTCCATTATGGTGCATGTATATCACTGTCTTAGGGTTTTACTGCTGTGAACAGACACCATGACAAAGGCTACTCTTTTTTTTAATTGGATATTTTATTTACATTTCAGATGTAATCCCCTTTCCCACCCCCTGCCACCCAGGAACCCCCATACAATCCCCCCTCCTCCTACTTCTATAAGGGTGTGCCCCCACTCACCCTCCCACTCCCATCTTCCCACCCTCGAATTCCCCACACTGGGGCATCCAGCCTTCACAGGACCAAGGACCTCCTCTCCCACCTATGCCTGACAAGGCCATCCTCCCCTACATGTACAGCTGGAGCCATGGGTTCCTCTCTATGTGCTCCCAGGCTGGTGGTTTAGACCCTGGGAGCTCTGGTTGGTTGG